AAAAAAAAAAAAAAAAAATTGTCGCCGCGGGCCGCGGGGCTATTCTTAGTCGCGGCCGCGGCGACCATTATTTGATGAGCCGAGTTTGATTTCTGCAGGGACAATTTCGCGGCCACGGAGCAACCTCGCGACCGCGGAGTCGGGTCGCGGCTGCGAGCTTTTTCTTCGCCGCGGCCGCGGCGATGTAACGGTCGCCAACCCCTCATTTCTGCGTATGAAGTCTCGCGGCCGCGGCGATGATTCGGTCGCGAACTCGGCATTTCAGCGTCATAAATCTCGCGGCCTCGGGGGATGTCGCGGCCGCGGCACCCGCGACGTTGCGTTTTAATTCCCTTGCCTGCTGATTGAACTCCACTTTCCCTTTTCAATTTTCGAACGGCAAAAACGAACCCTCCACTGCACCTCACCTCCGCTCAAACGACGGCCACCGCCGACCAGCCACAATTTCCGGCGACGCTCCCCCGACACATCACGACCACCAGGACACCATCATCCTCCTTTCTTCCAGTCCTCGCACAGCCCTCAACTCCGAACCCTAGCCGTGACTTCACCATCAATCTCGACCAACCGACCGGCCACCAGCTCCGGCGACTTACCCACGGCGACAATTTCCGACCACGAGCCTCCATCAACGACCAACTCCAGCATTCAACCGGTCTTTACCGATCCACGTAACCTAGCTCGTGCACTTGCTTGTTTCACGCCCAATTTCAATCCCAAGGTACCGATAGCTTACTATTCTTGACGTCCGTTGATTGAGGCGTGAGGAGGCCAACTCCGGGATCGAGCCATTTCGAATTGCTCACAAGTTTTTAGTTCGAAGTTCCGCACGCCACGTGTTCGACTTATTACCCGATAGACGTTCAAATGGGCAAGAATCCGTTTCGTCCCACCAAGAAGAAAACCACTCAAGAACCGCCTAGGAAGCGTCAAACGGGCGAATCCTCCTCTCGAGATGCCCCTCCGGAAGAAGACCGAAATGACCTTTCGGACCAATATGGTGCTCTGTTCCCCATTTACTCCAGGAAGGAGGGCGAGATTTATGCCCGTCTCTCACAAAAGGAGGTCGTGAGACCGAAAGCGGTGGATTGGGACCTCCTGAACAACTTGGGCATTCTGGAGGACGTGATGAAGTACCTTAAGGTGTTGAACCTAACCGACTACGCCAAAATAGAGGAGAGTTCGAATCGCACTCTCATGCTTGAGTTCTTCAGCTCTTTCGTTCTCGCCGATGGGAATGAATACTTCACTTGTCGGCTCAAAGGGAAGGACCTCATGGTGGACAATGACGTAATGAAGAAAGTCTGTGGTTTCACTTTCTCCGGTACACGAAGCAAGGCCCTAGACTTCGACGCCAAGAAGAGTTGGGCCGAACTCTCCCCGCATACGACCTGGGATTCTGCCGGCATGTCCAACGGGCTTATCGAAGACCTGGCCACTGCCGTTGTGCATCGGTTCATCTGCTACAATGTTACCAGCAAAAAGGAGGCGAATAAAGTCAGTGAGGTCGAACTTTTTCTCCTATGGGCGATGCGAGCGGGAGTGCGGGTATGTTCAATGACTTTCCTACAGAACTCCTTACAGGAGATTGCCCTCACTCGGCGAGGACTACCGGCACTTGGGCACTTTGTTACCGCACTCGCGAACCATTTCGACATCACCCCAGAAGCCTACCGATTACATGGTGAGATAGCGCTTCAGGAGCGGTCCGAGATGCGATGTCTCAACTACAACGAGCTCAAGCAGGCCGACCTTATTCAGAACCGGACTACAGCTAAGGAGTACACAAGGCGCACCGCCTACGACACATATTTTAAAAAGCTCCAGCAGGGTCAGCCTAATTCCGATCCGGCAGGGTCGTCTCAGCAACCGACGGAGGGAGACGAGCATGAGCAGATGAATATTGACGAGGACCATTTACTTCCGCCTCCTCCCGCGTGGACGCCGGCTTCGAACCCACACCCGGAGTTTCTTCCACAGCAGCCACCGGCATGGTGGTCCACGTTTCAGACTCAGTATACAGCCGACATCCGCTCTATCCACGATCGTTTCGATGCCCAGGACAGGAGATGGGCTGCCCTCGAGACTCGACAGAACACGAAGTGGACCAACTGGGAGACCCAGCAGCAAACCCGGTGGGACCATTCTGAGACTCAGCAGCAGACCCACTGGACTCAGCTGGGTACGCATTTCGATAGCTTCGCTGGCGGTCTCCAGTCCATTCGCGAGCGGCAGGATCAGCAGGATGCTCAGATGGATAGTTGGGACCATAGATTCACTTAGTGGGACACCCGTTGGGGTTCGGGTCCCAGTCAGCCTCACCAGCCACCATCACCTCCGGATGCACAGTGACTTGTCACTGTGCTTTGTATGTTCTCTTTTTTCCCTTTCTCTTTTTATTTGTGTATAGCTTCTTTGTTTTTGTTTTTGCGTTGATCTGTTCTATGGTCTAACTCTCCTTCACCGCGACTCGACAATGGGGACATTGTCTGATTTTAAGTGTGGGGGAGTTTTACATGCTTATGTGACTATGTGGTGGATCAGGTCTAGATTTTCTTTCTCCTTAGGGTTTTGTTTATTTTTATTTTATTTTCTTTTGCGTGGACCAGTCTAGTTTAGGTTTATTTGTTCTTTGTGAGCATGGACTTTGGTGTATTGTAAGACTAGTTGATGATTGGTTGATTGAGTTAGGAAGTTGTGATGATGAGAATGAGTGGCATTTTGATGAACTGGCTTGGTTGTTTTGTTGACATCTATTTTACCTTGTGAGGCTTTGAGCCACATTCATTTCTTTCCTTGTGAGTTATTGGTCGGAATCGTTGTCAATTAGAATTTGCCTTGAGTCTGCTATGAAATGAAATAATTGGATTTGTGAACGTGAATATGATTGAGGCATTCTTTGTATTTCCCTTCCATTTTCTTTTTTCTGAAAATAATTTTCACTAGTCACCCCTTTTGAGCCTTACTGATTTTCTTTCTCTTATAACCTCGTGACGATTTGTGCAGTTGCGTAGTTGCGTGTGTAGACTGAGAGGTGATTCGTGTTTGTATATATTAAAAAAAAAAAGAAGAAAAAAGAGAAACTAACGGATTACGTGAAATATCCTAAGGTTCTCACAAAAAAAAGGGGTATATATGAAAATAAAATTGGAAATGTTGAATAAGTGCGTAGTAGGTTGACTTGGAGTAGTGGGAGGAACCGGTTGGTGTCAGCAACCAGAGGAGTTCATGATTACGGATATCTGATTGAGTTGAGTTGATTTTTATTTAGCTAGCTAGCCTATATTTATCCTACCCGGTCCAAAGTGTTAGTGTTATATACTGAAAGCTTGGCTTTGCATGTTATTACACATTTACCCTTTATGAATGAGAATCATGTTAGATTAAACAAGTTCTACGTTCTGTTGTTCTGCACTTAGATAGGGTGGGTCGTCATCGGGCGAACCGAAGATCACTCTATCAGTCACTTGCGAACAAGAATAGTTGTTCACAACCTAGATGGACATGAACACCCCATCCGAACGGTTGTAGTGTCAACTGTACAGTTTGTCTTGACTGATTAGTTGCATTAGTACATTTATGTATTGAACAGGATCCCAGAGAGGAGAAGTTCATTTTATACTGATCGTCGTAAATGAACTAGGCCTCGGTTAATTACTGCGTTCTCTTAACCCGTAAGATATTAAACAGGCAGATATGTATAATATATATTACTTTGATTCACATGGGTGAGGTTCAGTTTGCTGGATTAATATTCCTACTGTTTTGGATAATATTATTATATATAGGATGTGCTGTTAGGATATTTACGGTCACCATGTGCGTTAGTTTGATGATGTCCCCGGAGTGAGTTCATGAAGGATTGTTATGCTAAACCCTGCAGGTGGATTAAATTCCGGCATAATAAGAATGTGATGAACGAGCGCTAGCTTCGGTGAAATAATAATAAATTAATTAATTCTTGATTGTCAGTAATCGAATTAATTAATGGACATTATATCTTAAACGTGGGGAGGTAAATCGAGTAATTATTATTGGAGTCTCAAATGTAATTTGGGCTAGGGAAAGGGAGTGCAATAATATAATGTTGGTGGCCCATTAATATTATTTAATTAATTAGAAGAGTGGGTTTGACCAACAGTTAGTCTAATTAATTAAGGAGCCCTTTTCCTAATCTCCTTAGGGTCCCTACTGTAGCTCTATATATACATCATTAAGCTCATGAGAAGAGAATCTCAATCTCATATTCACGTGATACACGCCGCCCATCTCTCTCTCTCTAGATCTCATTCGATCTTTATCTTCTTCTTGTTGCTCCACTGGTACAAGTTGAAGAAGGGTGTATTGAGTAATACAGTAGAAGATCTGTAGGTAAACCGAGACGAAATATATTTTGACCTACAGAACTAACCGGAAGTCCGATTGAGACGTACAGTATACCCAGACGACCGTCTCGACGAGCGCTTTCAATCGCACTTGAGGGATCTGGGAAGAGGCGTATATTTGCCGCCGAGATTGCTGGAATCCGACGCCGGACGCGCCCTCACGCGCCGCCAGAAGCTCCCAAGCTGCAAGTTTCGTTTTGATCTGTTTGCATCCGTTTGATCCAATTTTGATCTGATCTTGTTCCTGCAACCCAAGACGCGTGTTGCGGTCAATCAATTGCGGTCAACCGTTCGTGGTCAACCAGATCTACATAAATTTTAAGCCGTAAGTTCTCTACGTCAAACCTTTAGATCCGCTGCGCATAGGTTTACGTTTGCTATTGAATTCGTGACTTGTACATAACGAGATCCTCACAGATCCCAACAAGTGGTATCAGAGCACTTGGTTAATTCGTTTTGTACAAAGTTCGAATTTTTACGGCTTTATTTGACAAGATGTGTTCAAACGCAGCCATATATTGGATTATATTTGCATAACTCGGTTTTGCAGGAAAATAGTTAATCCACTATTATGGCCGATTATGTGTTTGATGAATGTTGTTGAATGTGATGTATGGTTTTAAATTTGTTTTTAAAGCCTCGGGCATGTCGAGGAATTTATGGATGAATGTTTGTAATAATTATTCGCCCGGGGGTTGACCGGATAGATTTAATTATTTGTTTAGAAAACATGTACATCCATTCGTTGGATCTAGGATCGAATTATGTAATTTTGTAAATTATATTTTTCGTGTTGTGATCGTGTGTTGATAACCGGGAGATCACAAGAGATCAACGAGCCTCGAAGAATTAAAAAAAAAAAAAAAAGGCGTTTTTCCGGCGAACTGGTGGCGGCAGCCGGCGAACCGGCGGTGGCTGGTGGCGGCGGCAGGTGGCGGCTGGTAGCTGGTGTTTTTGCCTTGTTGTCCAAGCAGTACAAGATCAACCAGGATTCTACTGCTTAAAGGAGTTCCAGTTGAACAGGGAAAAGAACTGTCACAGTTTCCTTGTTTAAGGAGACTCAATATTTAATGGCCATAATAGTGGATTTATTTATTTATTTAATTAAATTTATTATGCCATTAAATTATTATTTATGCATGTTAATTAATTATGTTCTTGCATGGGATTAATTTAGTATTGCAAGATTAATTATGCATGTTAATTAATTATGTGATGCATAGGATTAATTTAGAATTGTGTCAATAAATTATGCATGTAATTAATTATGTTCTGGCATGGATTAATTTAGAATTGCATAAATTATTGAACATGTTAATTAATTATTGCATTGACATAGATTAATTTAGAATTGCATGAATTAATATGCATGTTAATTAATTATTGCATTAACATAGATTAATTTGGAATTGTATAAATAGTTAAAAATCCTCATTAAATTATACTAAGTTTGAGAAGGGATTTTAAATTAAAGTTAATTGTAAAATTCCTAAGGCCTCCATTTCTAATTTGTCGGTAAATCAATTAATTGCGGCAATGGGCTCCCCCACGGGTGACATTGCTAAAATTGGTTGTAGGAAATTACCAGGACAAATTTCTAAAATTAGACGGTTAGAGGGAATCTTAAGAGAACGCACGGGCCTCCCCACGGGGGACGTGTAATCAATTTTGACAACCTCAGAATCGAGAAATGGGATTCACTTAGAATGCGACTTATCTATAAACTCCCCACGGGGTCCCTGGATTTATTGCATGGCCAAATGGAGACCGACTATTAATTTCGTTAGTCATGAATGTGGTTTTGACTTATGGAAATTAATGGGCCCTTGAAAAGTCCTTCTCTTACAAAATGCGAGTTTGTAGGGCGACCCACGTAGCATACATTCTCACGAGGTGTAATAGATGTCGGTGAATTTAAGTTAATATTGTTTTGAGGATCTCAATATTGACAGTTAAATTCAAAAGTGTTTAATCTGTAAAATTTATTTGCATGATTCTCAGGATATTCATCATGTCGTTCAATCCGTTGTCTGTCATTCTAAAAGAAAATCAACTTACTGGTCCTAATTACATTGATTGGAAGAGGAACTTAGACATAGTGTTGACTGCTGAGGGTTATAAGTTTGCTATCACTGATGCTTGCCCGGCAGTGCCGGCGGCTGATGCTCCTGAGCAGGAGAAAGATGAGTATGCTCGGTGGAAGAAGGCTGATGAGATGGCGAAGTGTTACATTCTGGCTTCTATGTCAAATGTTCTTCAACATCAGCATCAGTCTAAGGACAATGCAGCAGATATACTTCTCAATCTCAGGGATCTGTTCGGACATCAGTCTAGGGCTGCTAGGCAAGAGGCTTTGAGTGCTCTGATGAGTACGCGCATGGCCGACGACACACCCGTAAGGGAGCACGCCCTCAGGGTTATGGCGCAGCTCAATGAGCCTGAGGTTATGGGAGGTTATATTGACGGGGAAACCCAGGTTGATATTATGCTCCAATCTCTGCCGAAGAGCTTTGATCAGTTCCGGTTGAACTACAACATGCACAAGATGCATATGGCTCTTCCAGAACTGCTTGCAGAGCTTCAGTCAGCGGAGGCCTTATTCACTCAAGCACCTCAGGTGCTAGCCCCCGAGCAGGCTGGACCTTCCAGGCCTCACAAGGGCAGGAAGAGAAAGAAGTCTGCAGGAAAGGCGAAGGCACAGGATGCTCCGGTTTACCCACGACCGACCCCTCAGGCTGTGGCAAAGAAACCGAAAGGAAGATGCCACAAGTGCAATAAGTCAGGACACTGGAAGGTCGATTGCCCTCTCCTCAAGAAAGGTAACTCTCTCGTTAATGTCGTAGAAACATGTTTAGCGGTTGTATCTACCAGAACCTGGTGTGTAGATACTGGAGCCACTGATCATGTCTGCAATTCTTTGCAGGGGTTCCAGGAAACCAAGCGACTTAGGGAGGGAGAGATCACCGTCTACATGGGCAATGCTACGAAAGTGGCGGCTGTTGCAGTGGGAGACGTTACTTTATCGTTTGATTGTAGTAGTTTGGTTTTGAGAAATTTCCTTTATGTTCCTAGTTTTAGAAAGAACCTTGTTTCAGTTTCTAAACTCGTTATGGATGGTTTTTCAGTTTCGTTTGATGACATGGTTATTATTCGTTTTGAAAATCGTTTCATATGTTGTGGTTCATTAGTTGGCAATTTATATGTTCTCAAACCGAACTCTCCCACAGTGCAACATAATGAATTGAATAATGTCATAACTACATCTAATAAGAGGAACGAGTCTTCGCAGATGAATCAAGCATATCTGTGGCACCTTCGACTTGGACACATCAACCTTAGGAGGATTCAAAAGTTAGTGGCCAGTGGACATCTCGGTCCATTGGAAGAGCACTATCCAACTTGCGAATCATGCCTGGAAGGCAAGATGGCCAAGAAGCCGTTTACGGCAAAGGGGTATAGGAGCCAAGAAGTGCTAGGATTGATTCATTCTGATTTGTGTGGTCCTATGTCGATCCAGGCTAGAGGAGGTTTCGAGTACTATGTGTCTTTCATAGACGATTACTCGAGATTTGGGTACGTTTATCTGTTGCACCGCAAGTCCAAATGCTTTGAGAAATTCAAGGAGTATCGGGAAGTTGTGGAGAAGCTTCATGGTAAATGCATCAAGTCACTTTGTTCTGATCGAGGTAGCGAATACCTTTTTGGAGAGTTCAGGACATACTTATCGGAAGCTGGGATTGAATCCCAACTGACTGCACCCGGCACGCCCCTGCAGAATGGGGTTGCAGAGCGAAGAAATAGGACTCTTATGGAGATGGTTAGGTCTATGATGAGTTATCCGAGGTTA